GTCGACAACTATTTGTACGCAATCGGCGGCGTTTCCGAGAGTGAATACCCGCTAATCGATGACGACTTGTACACATCCGGTGAGATATATTCGCCCGAAGCCGACGAATGGACTCCAATGGCTAGTCTTCCGTTATATAACCGGTCACAACACGCGGCCATTGCGTCCAATCATTTCATCTACGTTTCCGGTGGTTTAGATCAGGACATTGTTCTCAAAGATCTGATCCGTTACAACACTCTCACCGATGAATGGGATTCCACTTTAAATCCGATGCTATGCGAACGCGCAGACCATTCAATGGTTGTCTACAATAATAAGATTTATGTGATCGGCGGCTGGTTTGAGGACCCCATGACGGGTACCAGAGTTCTGGTCAATACCATCGACTGTTACGACATAATGACCGACTCGTGGTCTGTTGTGGGAGATATACCGACGCCTCGATATCATGCGGGTATTGTGACCAAAGGGTCCACTCTCTACATCATCGGTGGTTTCCATAGTGACAGCACATTCGACAGGGCCTCCGGTCTGATCGAGTCTTTCGATTTAGTGACTCACAGCTGGAACCATACCCTCGATGACTATCCACAAGACATATGGGAACACCACTGCTGTACTCTATTTGTGCCTAAATATCGCGACGACTTAGTTGTTAGCTCTCATAAAATGTAACATTTCTTTTGCCAAATATTTCATTAGCTTTTTTAACCAATTTCTCTATTTATTTACTATTTAAACCATTTTCGAGATATTTATTGCAATAAATATTTTAATTCAACGAATTCTAGCCTTTATTTTATCGACAAATGTTTGCAAAATTAGTTTTTGTTTGCATTTAAGAACTTTTCAATTAAGCAAAATTCTTTGAAACATTTATTGGTTTTTTATAATAAAAAATATTTCCAAAGAATGTTTTAAAGGAATATAACATAAAATGATTTAAAAATTAGTTCATAAAAGCATTTTTATTGATATTTTATGGTTTCTTCTGTCGTAAAAATAATAATTGTTTTTTTTTGTTTCCAAGAATTTGTATTTTAATTCATCGATAAAATTGATTTTCATTTCAATGAATTGTGGAATAAAAGAAATATTCTTGCAATTCGTTTACAGAATAATAGCAATAATAGCCAAACATTTATAGTTTATGTTTCATTTCAATTACTTCCGATCATATCTTCGTATATATAAAAAGAGATAATAAAAGTTATTTAATTTTATACATAATACTGTTTCTCACAATACAGTCAATTCGCTGTACAGTAATATTGCTGTAAATTTTTCAATTCAAACACTTGTTGTAAACAAATTTAAGATCAAGTTTTTAAAGGAGTTTGTGGTCCAAAAAATATGTACAGTATTTGATATCAATTTCTTTAAAATCAATGTTTTGAACAATAAATTAATATCAAAGCCAATTCACATGACATTGCAATGAAATTCACAGGAAATGTGAACTAGATCATTTGCACCCATATATGCTATAATACCATACGGTAGAGTAGTGTACACTATAATTGATGGACAAATATTATTTCAATACAAGAATTGTTATTTAATTGGCATTTAATCTAAAGGTGTCTTCAGATTACCACTTGAAGACATCATCAGTTTATTTAAGGAAATAATCAATAATTGCGTGAATTTGCTGAGAGGGTGGGAGGGATGGAGAGGGATGGGCGCGGGGAGAGAGTGGGCACCTGTAGTGGTGGTGTAGTAGTAGTAGTGGTTTGTAGTAATACTGTGTGGAGTTGTAGTGCAGTGTATGGGAGAAGTGATGGGTTGTCGGGAGTCATGTGTTTGTGTTATGCATTGAGAGGAGTGTTGTGTTTGTGTTGACTCAATGAGCGTAGAGTTGGTGTGTATTTCACAGACAGTATTCACAGACAATATTTCAATGTATGGACTGATCGCCAAAAATGGCTGATATTTGTTGATATAAACGGTAGGTCTGTATGTCTTCGCCCCTAAACTCATCACTTAATCGGCGTTTATATTGTTGTAAATGACATGAACTGAGCGTTGAATCCATTATTGCATTCAAATGTGTGCTTCAAATGAGTTGTCGTTTGGTTTGCATTTGTGTTGAATTGTGTGAAGAAGTGATTGCAATACAAGAAGTGATAGTTTGATCGATCGGATCAGTAGTTGGACTCAATGGGCGCCAAACAGAGCACAAACTCGACGGCCAGTCCTTCACATGTGTATCAAAGTAACGGATCGTCGCCTTCCGGACACCACAACCACTCCATGGCCTCCACCTCGTCGTCGGCGACGGCCAGCGGCCGCTCAAACAGCACGAGAGTCACCGCCGGATCCGCTAACACTCCCACCAGTCATACCAATGCTAGTGATATACAGACGGCCAGTGATTGGCGGCAGAGGGCCCGCAGTCTGTCTTCGGTGTTGAGCGCATCCCAGGCCAACGGCACGGCTATACATGTGCCACAAATGCACTCCACTTTCGGTCTTTCCGTCTCTCCCGACGGCTCCGACACTTCCAACGACGACAACCTCTCATTTGGTCGCGTCTTCTCTGCCCATTCATTACCCGTTCACTTGATTTCATTCAATGGTATGTCTTATGTCTTATATATCATTACTTAACATCAATTGTGCCATAAATTGACTCCTATTTAAAGGTCACGACAGAAAAGAGCCATAAATTAGCGATTTATGTGTTTTCGATGCGATTGCTTATCAAATGAATTGATTATATTTAATGAGATTTAATTCAAACAATTGTCTGTCAATACAAATAAAATGTTTTCCACTAAACATTGATCTCATGTGAAGACAACAATTGTTTGAATTGTAGTGAAGATTAGATAACATTTTCATAAATTAGTTCATCGCTAATGAAGTATATATTAAGTGATTTGTTTTGTGTTAGTTTTTTATGCATAAAAATGCCATTTAATTGGTATAAAAAATATTATAAATAAATAGCAATTAATTGATTGATTGAAAGCATTAATTAATAAGTTGTCAGAAAATATCCCAAAAAATGGGTTTAATTTGATTAAAAAGTCTGGTTTTTCCCAAACACTTATCGCAAACAGTATTTCCCATTATATCTGTGTTTGGCTTTCAAATGAACGCTCGCTTTATATCATAAGAAACTCTTTGAAATGAAATTAATTTTAATTAAAATAAACGTCGAGTTAGTCGTGAAAAATGAATAAATCATATCAAAAATCTTTCTCTAAACAAAACCTTGAATTTTTGAGTAAAAATTTTCATTTTATTAATCATTTGACTAATCGTTTGGAAGTTATTTGAAATGAAAAAATTAAATCTTGTTTCAAGAAAAATATTTTGCAATTTAATAATTGAATTGATTTGAAATGTTTTGCAGAGAATTGTGTTGAGAAAGAAAAATGCATTTCAATTATAAAAACCATAACTTATGTTATGTTATGGTTTAATGTATTGATTATTTAGCTGTCATTTAGTGTTGTATTTCTATTATCGACTCAAATATACTGTATTCAGGACTTGAGTTATATTTAGTTTATATCTAAAAAGTATTTCAATATTTTGTGATTTGCTTTTAAGACGCAATCGTTTGGAGGAAAGAAAGAAAAGCCATAAAAAACACATGAAATGAATGAATGATTTACTCTTCAAGAAGTCGTTTACATTTGCTGTTGTTTTTAGCGATTCATTATTAATCCTATTTTCCCTAATATACTAAATATATAATGAAATTTAGGTCTGAAAACAAACCAATTATCAGTCAAATCATTGTTTTGTGTTAAATGTTATGTAAAGACTATTTAAAACATAATTTATACGCAAAATATTTATTATATAATTATATAATAAGACAGTAAACGACGAAATGTTTTTTATTGAATTAATGATTAGTTGAATGTTTGTCAGACAACTATCTCTTTTCACTTTTCGTTATCGTTTCACATTTCACTGCATATCTAATAACTAACAAAACATTTTCAAAAAAGCACTACAAAACACAAAACATATTTGAAGAAAATTTTAATAATAATAATCTCTAGAAATTAGTCGGAAATATTGTCACAGAAATTCTGTGACAGAATTAATTAATTTAGAAAATATGTCTAAAATTAGACGAAAAATCAATAATAAAATTATGAAAACACTTGTTATACGAGTGAGACATTTGTGTGAATATTAATTATAAACAGAATTGTTTGGTTTAGGAATCAAATGTCCCGTTTGTTCAAAACTTGTATTACCAGACGATGTGGAGTGTCATCTGGTTATGTGTCTTACAAGACCGCGGATCAACTATAATGGTATGCATTGTTTACACGATTCGCTGTCCAAACAATTATGGTTTTGTTTTGCTTTTTAGAGGATATGTTAACTGAAGACAAAGGAGAGTGTGTCATATGTCTAGAAGAGCTCATCAAAGGAAACACTATCGCAAGGCTTCCATGTCTTTGTATATATCATAAAAGGTAATCCACGGCATGATTTGTATGTCACTATCACTAACGGTGTTGTCTTGTTTTGAACGGACAGTTGTATCGATGCCTGGTTTGAAGTGAACCGTTCGTGTCCTGAACACCCTTCAGACTGATATGAAATGTATAGAAAAAACAAATAAATATATGTTTTATTTTTGTTTATAATATAGAGAAACCGATTGTTTTATTATTCACTAAATTCTATAATTTATAATATATATAATATATGTTTTAATATTACAAATGTTTTTAATCATTCGCTAATCAAATGATATGAACACTAAAATGCTTTCCAAAATGAAGTCAAAAGTGTTGTTCTTTGCAATCTTTAAATTACATGAATTAGAGATCATATTTGGAAAGAATTGCTAATAAAATGCCATTTTTGGGTCATTTCTAACCATTAATTCTAACCATTGTTTGACAAAAACAAACAAAAAGGATGAGAAAAATTGTGTTTTAAATATTAAATAAATTTTATAGAATTTGTAAAAAAATGTTTATATTTTTATTTATCAATCTTTTTCTTATGTATACAAAATTTCAACAGAAATACACGGTTTCCGTTGCGGTCAACAAAACGGAGCGCAACTTTTGGCGTATTTTATTTGAAGGTTTCACCCAATTATGCGAAATATCCATTTGTTTTTAATTTGTTTGCCTTTTGAACCCTTCAATAGTTAAACATAATTAACAATATTTTATATAATGAATAACTGAATGAGAGATGAGTTTTGATTTGATTTGTAGAATGAGATGAATAGTAAATATGAATGAATTATGAAAACGAATTATCAAATAAATTAAACTAAATTTGCTGTAAATCTGAGCCGAGTTTCGATGGTTTGCGGCGAATCGACGGACGCATTGGTCGGCAGTTTCTTCATTTTGTGATGCGCTTCAGCGATGGCTAGAGTCGCCTGATGTACCTTTCGGTAGATCTTCTCGCCCTCCAGTGTATGGAAGACAAACATTCCTTCACCCGTCGGACAGTGCCTCCCGGCCTCGAATGTGAACTTTGTTAAGTCCGACCCTATTATTGAGACATAAGACCCATTAGTGTTGCCATCCAATGGACAGTCGATTGTCGCGTATGGCTTACCGTATCTGCGGAGTGCGGTGAGAGGCCAGGCCACTAGTTTTAGCTTAGAGTTGCTTATATCCCATAAATAGATGTTTTCGTGGGTCACTTGCAGAAGACATTCGCCAAATACGTCCAGTTTAGAGGTCGGCATTAAATACACGTGAAATTGTTCCTGAAGTTCCTTTTGGATGCCGGGCCTCAACACGTCTGGCTCTCCCGTCGCCAGTCCTGGAGGTAATAGAAGACACTCTTGTATCGACAGTTTAACCCAAGTGTCGGCCTCTAAGTCTGTACGGGATATAAGACAATAAGCATTGAGACAAATGATGACAAAAGCGATGGACTCGACGGATGAATACCTGAATCACAAGCGAAACACTTGAGGTTTTGGTCGTGAAATTGCACACTAAAGGCATATTTGCGACACGTGTTGGCCAGTCGTGTGATGGACGACACGTTTGTCAACAGATATGTCTTGTGGTGACCACCAGTTCGGGCGCTCTTCTCATCGAAATACTTGTCGAGACGAACGGGTCCTTTGCTGGACGCGCGCCTCAACACTAGCCATCTCTTGTGCCACACATTAATGGATTTGCTTCGGACGCGAGTATAGCCCTGTTTTATGATATCATTGACATCTGTGGCCATCGCATCGATGGAAGCACTCACTGTCTCTTCCACTCGAGTCCAGTCACCACCAAATCAGTGGACACAACAACAGCCCCTCAACCCTATCGGTGACACATCTCTGGCGACACAAACCTCTTGAGAGGTCGACAAACCATTCAAAACAGACAATGAGACCAAAAGAGTGGATGATTTGCAAAACACAATCAATTAATTGAAACTCATATCAAATGGACTCAAGTTTTGAAATCAAAGATTGTTTAAAACGATGAGTGAATTGAAATGAATGCCATTTTCTGAGCACTTGTTGTAACACTACTACACATCAGGCGCTCAACGCATACACAGCTATAGCTATAGCTATACGTAAGCTATTATTTAGATCTGTTTTTTCGCCAAATTATGCCTTCAGGCCATCAGTCCCTCCAGTCTTACAGTCAGCCCAGTCTTCCCAGTCCTCACTCCCTGTGCTCTCTCAGGGGAGAGAGAGAGAGAGAGAGAGAGAGAGAGATGTATAGCAGAGGATAAGGCAGGGAATCATTACAAGTGATAATTGAATTCCAATGCAAAGACATATCAAAGAGAGAGAGAGAGAGAGAGAGAGAGAGAGAGACCGGGAGAGTGCGCACAACCATTGAATTGATATGTCTTTGCATTGGAATTCAATTATCACTTGTAATGATTCCCTGCCTTATCCTCTGCTATACATCTCTCTCGACATCGAGTCCTCCAATCATTACAACCTCTGCAGGCATTCAGACATACAATCACTTCAGACAAGAGAAGAGTTTTTCTTAATATTCATTTCAATTCCATTATTATTAAGAGAAGGAAAAAACTTTCCAAACATTTAAGTGATATTCAAATCTCGGAAATAGAGGCCAAACACAGGAATGGGAGGCATAGGAGAGGAAACTGTTGGCATTCTTCACATCCCAAACATCTAATTATATATACAGAGAGGTTCAGCCAAGAAGTCTATTGGGAGGTATAAATGGCATAACTCCGCCCATAAATATAAGCTGAAACCTGCGCTGTAAAGCTTTGTTTTGATTTGGCTCTGAGTGTTTCAATGCAATGCATAAAAGCGCAAATCGTACTTTGCTCTGATTGGTCGACTTGCTGCTTGAACCTCACTGTATAACACACGAATCCATCATTTCTATCCATTTCTATCAATTTGTCTCCATTTCTATCCATTTATTTGTTTCAATCAATTTGTGTTTAAATGAATAAAAAGTTTTTCCATTTCTTTTCCCTTTAAATTGAATGACTTTAAAAAAGTTTTTACTCTCAAAACTCTCTCCACTGTTAATATAGTTTTCACTTTCCTTACAATGCATTCAAAATGCGATTATATTTGGTGTGAAAAGAGCGCTAAACAGTAGACAAAGCACCTGTAGGTCAACCTGTGCTCACAGTTAGGCACTGCACAGGCAGTCAGTGTACAGTCAGTGTAGAGGCAGTGCACAGGTATAGTAGCCAACAGTGAGCGCACACACAGTGCAGGACAGCAGAGGACAGCCCCTCCACACGTAGTCACGCACTGCTCCTCACTCTCCGGTCGGCACTCATTGTTTGCATTGAAAATACATTTAAATGTTTTGTTCAGTTTGTGGTCAATAGGTGTCACTCAATAGGACGTAACGTTGTTTGTGAAGAGCGCCGACACTTGTGTTTACTCTGCGAAAAAAGTTTTCACGTGTTTTGCTGTGAAATGTGTTTTGAAAACTGTATTGATTTGTATTGAAAATCACGTGTAGTTTTGCTCTCATTTTGCAATTAGTTTTGTTTTAATTGTGATTGAATTGAGTCACAAATTATGGCCAAACCTAAGAAAGCGTTGAATAAAAACAATTCAAAGAAAATAAATACAGAGAAAAATGTGACAAAACATGTGGTCAACGATTACAACGACTCCGAAGAATCTGATGATGAGTTTGAAGAGGAATCCGATGA